TCCGTGGGCGACCCCTGGCAGATCCGACTCCTGCTCGCAGAGGCCGCCGCCAGCGTCGTGAAGCAGGATCTGGGAGTGGATCCGACTCCAGATCAGATGAAGGAGAAGCGAGCGTGGATGTGCCTCACCCCCGACGGGGACATCTACGCGCACCTACTGGACGCGCCGTTCCTCGCGGGGATCGCAGTCTTCGGGTCGACGGGCGACGTCGTAGAGGCGCGCGGCAGCGAGTGGATGCCGGACCCCCTGGAGTTCTCAGACGCCGTGGCGGAGGCCGAGCGGGCGGGGGGACACTCCGCCGCCCGTCGCCTTCGAGGCAAGCAGGCACTACCAACGGGGGGTCCGGCAGCTGGGGATTCGACAGTGATTCCGCCTGAGGTCGCCCTCGAGTTCGACAGCCTCAGGGACGTGAAACTGTGTTTCTGGCGGGCGCTCGCGGCCTCGGAGTCGACCCCCGCGCGCAAGGTGCTGAGCGGCTCGGCGGTGGACTGGGCCCTCGTGACCGAGTTGTACGCCCTCGCGATGCGGGTGGCGGAGCTGCTGGTGCTGAAGAAGGTGGGCTCCGCCACGGACGGGAGCTCGGAGCTGGACGCCCGCGTGCTGCCGGTCGAGGAGGATGCCCGCGGGAGCGCGGGGCCACGTCATGGTGTCCCCGGCTTTGCAGGAGCACATATCATCATAAGTTCATCGTGAACACCTGATCATGAAGGAGAGACGGAAGTTGAAAGAAAAACGATCGATTGCACGGGGAGCTCCGCAGCAGTCGGGCAGTGGCAGTTCGACGGCGGATCTTCAGCGGAAGGTTCAGACACAGGCAGAGGGGTCGAAGGGGCTGCAGGCGCGGGCGGCACACCGCACGGACCCGAAAAAGGGCAAGGGGGGCGACCGCGGCGGCGGCCAGGGCAGCTGACCTTCTCGCGTGGATGCCCGTGCCCTGAGAGCTCCTCCCTCTTCCAGTGGGGCAGCCAGGGGCGCGCTCGGCGCGGCCGCGGGGGGTCTCGCGCTCCGTGAGGTCACGCCTCCGCCGGAAAGCTTTTTGTGAGGGCTGGGAGAACGAGATCTGCCAGGCCGTTAATTCACTCTACTCAGTCAACGCGGAGCCAAAGGAGCTTCATCACCCGTCCCAGGCGCAGACGGAGGCCATCCGCCACTTCTCTGAGGTGGTTAAGTCCTTCGGAGCCCCTGACGAGACGCCCGCGGCAGCCTTCGATGCGCTGTGCGGGTCCGACCCCGGCTACGGCGACGTGGCCGCCAAACATATGCCCTACCAGCGCGACATGGTCGCGCTACCCGCCGACGGGCGCTTCACCGAAGGTGAGGATAACCTGTCGGGCGAGGTTTTGAGTCAATGGTTGGTTTGGCGCTCGTGCCTCTTGCGAACAGAGATGGTGGAATGTGGCGCTGTCATCCCCTACTCATATCCAAAGTTGATCAGGTCTTCGATTTACTATGCTACCTTCATCCTCGATATCTTCAGAGCTGGGCTCATCAGTCTCGGCGAGACACGGGAGCACGCAGTGGGAGTTTTTTCGTGAGCAAAGACGAGGGGCGCGCTCTGCGCCTAATTTTTGATATTCGGGAGTACAATCGACGCTTCAGAGAACCCGACTGTACGCAATTACCTGCCGCGAGAGCGTGGCAGGGTGTGCAGTTGCGACCTCCACATGGCGCAGCTGGACATCTCCAACGCCCTTTACCGCATTCGACTCCCGCCTGGTCTGCATGGGCATTTCGTGTTACCTCGGCTCAGCCGCCAAGCCTGGCTGTCCGTCGCGCCCGAGCTAGCCCGCGTGTTGCCTTCCAGCAGCTACGCGTCTCCGCTGCTGCGGGTTCTGCCGATGGGGCGGTCGTGGAGCCTTTTACTTCTGCCAGAAGATGGTGGAGGACGCGGTGTTCTCCGTCGGTTTCCAGCTCAGCCTGCTCGTCCAGGGTGGCTGCAGGGTCCCGAGGCTCACGGCGGAGAGCACGGCGGTGGGGATCTACGTCGACGGCGTCGCGGTCTTCAGCGGGAACAGGGAGCTGGCGCTGGGGGAGTGCGAGAAGGTAGACGAGGAGCTGATGCGGCGCGGGCTCAGCACGAAGGGCGTGGTGCCACCGTGCGAGACGCAGAGCTTCACCGGCCTCGCCTTCAACGCCACCTCAGGCAATATCAGCTTGTCTCGCCAGAGGCTGTGGCGCTTGAGGCTTGCCCTCTTGCGCGCCGCGGACCTGGGCTCCATCTCGGGGGCGCAGCTGCGCCGCCTGGTGGGGCGCGTCACGTGGGCCGCCATCCTCTGGCGCGAGCTCCTGGCTGTGTTCAGCGCGGTGTGCCGCTTCATGGACATGGCTGGGTCGCGGCGCTGGCGGATGTGGGGCTCTGTGGAGACGGAGCTTCGCGGAGGTGGAGACCGGGGTGCCGTGCGCAGATATGGTCTACGCCACCCCAGTAGCTCAGTTAGACTAGGATTATAATTCTCCATTACCCTCTAATCAACATGATTTAGAGGATAATTATCCTCCAATCAACATGATTTAGATGATAATTACCCTCTAATCAACATGATTTAGAGGATAATTATCCTCTAATTATCCTCTAATTTCAACATAATTATGACACAATTATCCTCTAATTATCTTCTAATTATCATAATTAGCTTATAATTCATCTTACTTCAATTAAGTGAGGTTCCCTCCTCCGCCTCCTCCCCTCCTCCGCCTCCTCCGCGTCCCCCTCCGTAACCATTTGGGCTCAATGTAGCCGCGCAGGCCCGCCATCGGGGGGCCCGCGGGGCCCGCGGGCCCGAGCCATGGCGAAGCTGATATGGGACTCGAAGGGCAAACTGGTGGACTGCGTGAAGGAGGGAAGCGTGCCCTTGCAAGACAAGGCCTTGCTCTTCAGCAGGGGCACGAGGCAGAGGAGTGCAGACAAGGCAAACGAGGGCAGCCCCATGCCCGCGTGGGCGCCGACGTCCAAGGCGAAGGCGCGGAGGCCACCGTCGACGCCAGCACCTTCGGCAGCACCTTCGGCGCCATCACCTTCGCCAGCACCTTCGGCAGCACCTTCGCCAGCGCCGTCGGCAGCAGCACCTTCGCCAGCACCTTCGGCGCCAGCAGCGCCGTCGCCAGCAGCGCCGTCAGCAACCCTCGGCAGCATCGGGCCACGTGGGCCAGTGAGGCCAGCGGGGCTAGTGGCCGTCGCGGCGCCGATGCCGCCGCCGCTGCAGACGACCAGGGCCGTCGTGATGCAGCCCAGGGGGTCGAAGAAGGAGTTGCAGCCGACGTCGAAAGCGCAGCCGAAGGCGCCGAAGGCGCCGAAGATGCCCCCTCCGCCGCAGGCGGTAGAAGCGCGGGAGCGGCGGGAGATGGCGAAGCACGACCAGAACGCGCAGCACGACGCTAAGCCGCAGCACGACGAGAAGCAGCAGCGCGACGTGAAGCAGCACGACGAGAAGCAGCAGCACGACGAGAAGCCGCGGGCCCTCGTCCAGCGCGACCTGAAGCAGCACGACGCGGCGCTGCCAGAAGAACCATCGTACTTCGGCGTGGTACTCGGCGTCAGTGAAGGTACAGACGGAGAACGAGAGTACTTGGTTGGCGGGCCTCCCCATAGGGAAAAAACCATCGTCACCTGCGGAGCCGCCGCCAGCGAAGGTGGAGGAGGAAGAGAAGCAGCACGACGAGAAGAAGCAGCAGCACGACGAGAAGCCCTTGGTGGAGCCGGTCGCGCAGCCGACCGTGGACCAGCCCTTGCTGGAGCAGCTGGAGGGGGCGGGCCGGAGCTGGGGCCTTAACCCGTTCGCGCACGTGCCGCCCCCAAAGAAGGCGGACAGGGGGAAGATGTTCGGCAAGATCGGGGTGAGGAGCACCGAGCGCGCGATCTACAGGGGGATGAAGCGCAAGTACGGCCAGCAGTACGCAGATCTCCAGCAGGAGGCGCGGCTCGGCACGGCTGGGCACTTGCAGGTGCAGGCGATTCACTTGCAGAACAAGGAGAGGAGGCTGAGCTTCGAATACCAACGGATTGGGGCCGCTCTAGTGCGAGCAGGAGGCGTTGCAATCGGACAAGTGCCCCTGGGCAGCTCGGCATCATCGTCGGCAGCATCTTCGTCAGCGGCACCTTCGACAGCAGCACCGGCGCCAGCAACGCCTTCGACAGCAGCGCCTTCGGCGCCAGCGACGCCGTCGCCAGCGCCAGCGTCAGCAACCCTCGGCAGCATCACCGTCGCCAACAGGCCATGTAGGCCAGTGCTGCCAGTGGGGCTAGTCGCCAACAGGCCATGTAGGCCAGTGCTGCCAGTGGGGCTAGTGGCCGTCGCGGCGCCAGCGCCTTTGCCAGCAGCACCTTCGCCAGCAGCACCTTCGCCGGCAGCGCCGTTGGCAGCAGCGCCGTCGGCAGCGGCACCGTCGGCACCAGCGTTGTCCAAGGCGGCCTCGTGGACAGGGCCCACGCCATTTACGCCTTCGACGACGGCGCCGTCCGATTGGCCGCCGCGGGCTGATGCGCCGATGCGGGCCGACGAGTTTGCGGACATAAGTGATCAGACGGCCGATCTCTTGCTGAGGTTCGTGGCGCTGACGGGCGTGAATCCCGCTGCGCCGTGGAGCGAGTCCGACGGGGGCAGTGCGGCGACGCCAGAGCAGTGCGAGGTCGCCGCCTCAGACCCGTACCAGGTCGCCGAGCCCGAGCCCGACGCTTGAGGCAGGCCGGAGAAAAAACTTGAAAAACAAACAAAGAAAAAAACACTCCACGAGCGTGGAGGTGCCATCAATGTCACAAACACCATCACCACCATCATCACCACAATCATCGTCATCATCGTCATCATCATCATCGTCATCATCATCATCAGCATCATCGTAATCACCATCATCACCATCATCATCACCATCGTTACCACTGCGATCCATCGTCATCGTCCTCTCGCTTCCTCTTCATGCTCCGCCTCCTCTGTCTCTCCGCAGCCGCGTGACCCTCAGGCATTTTTGCCATTTTGGCAACTGGTGAGAGCGGCGGCCCGACGATGGCGTCAGCGCTGCGGCCGAGGCGCCCGCGACCTAGGGAGTCGCAGTTCGTCCACGCGACCCTCGCCGACAAGTGGGGCGCGAAGGCGGTCCTCAAGGACCCCGGCTTCGCGTGGGACGGCTCGGGGTACGGGAGCTCGCGGACGCAGGCCATCGACGAGACATCCATGTTGCCTTGCGCCGAGGTTTTGAAGACCCTCCTCGAGGTTGCACCCTCGGGGTTTCCAGCGCAGAAGTGCTCGAAGGATGCCTTCCAGGAGCTGGGCAAGAGGCGCGGCATCCTCGCGTGCGATATGCGCTTCCAGGAGAGGGCGGCCAGCCTGGCAGCAGACGCCTGGCGGGTCATGGCGAAGCACCTCTACAACACAGCCCAGGCGGAGAAGGCTCTGAGCAACGAGGTGCTTCAGCAGCTGGTGGAGATGATCAGGCTTCCCTCTGCAGAAGATGATGGCGGTGCAGCTCTTGCCGGCTCCTTCGAGGACTCGCCGTCGTTCGCGGCGGCGGCGGGCCCCGTGGAGGGCGAGGCCGCCGACGTGAGCGCGTCGGCGGTCAGGGCGCTCTTCCCCCCCGGCATGGGCGAGGCGGCGGAGGGCGATGGCAGTCACGAAGCAGCTAAGACCGAGGTCGAGTTCTCCGACGACGACGTGGAGCTCTGCGGAATGACGTGCAATTGCAAAGCGTGCCGCGACGCACGCACCGTCGACCTCACGGCCGAAGAGGGCGGCGGCGAGCGGGCCCCGATCCCGAACGCGGCCATCGGGGGCCAGAAGCGCGATGCCAGGACCGCCCAGACGGCGCTGAAGGGCGACAAGAGCAAGGGAAAGGGCAAGGGCGACGGGAAGGGCAAGAGCAAGAGCAAGACGAAGAGCCAGGCGAAGGGGAAGAGCAAGGGGAAGGGGAAGGGCAAGCACAAGACGAAGAGCCAGGCGGGCAAGGGCAAGGACAAGCCAAAGAGGGGGCCGTCGACTCCCTGCACAGTCCGCATGCGTTTGTCGGGCAAGACGCGCGAGACGGTTGCGGCGAGCCTGAAGCCCCCGAAGAAGGCCAAGGCGCCCCCGAAGCAGGAGGATGAGGCCGAGGTCGAGAGCGGCAACATCACCCTGCCCGCAACGGTCACCGTGAGGGGGCCGAACGGGAAGAGGCGTGGCGAGGCCTACTTGCTCGACGGCAACAAGAAGTACATCATGGGCATCACCAGCAGGAGGACCGAGGAGTACAAAGAGGTCGTCGAGCGCGCCGCGGAGAAGATCAACGGCACCATCCTGAAGACGAAGGACGACCTCAGGATGTGGTTCGACCAGCAGATCGGGTTCGACACGTCATGAGGGGCCTCAGGAGGCGCGGCTGGAGTTGGACCTGCTACGCGTTGGGGCGATGTGGAGGGTCCAGCCAACTAGAAAGTTGAAAACCACAATCCTCCACGAGCGTGGGGTTCCCATAGTCATCTCATCCTCTTATCCTCTTAATGCTATCCCCACGTCGTCGTTATATCATCCTCATCCTCATCTTCATCCTCATCCTCATCATCACACCGATCCTCATCGCAATCATCATCGTCGTATTCATCCTCATCCTCGTCATCACACCCCGGTCCCCCTCATCATCATCATCATCGTCATCATCCTTGGAGCTGCCCTGGCTCAAGCAAGGCGCGGTATTCAGATCTCCGTCCAGGAGACAGATGCCCCCGAAGAGGGCTACGGCTACCAAGTCCGCCTCCCCCGCGATCCACAGGGGGCCGATGGGCCACTGCCTCGAGAAGATGCAAGCAGCAGTGCGCGCAGGCACCACGGCAGCGCCCGTGAAAGCGGAGCCCGTCGACAGCAGCGGCGGCAGCTCCAGCGCGCCTGCCGCGGCAGCGGTGGTTCCGGCCACTGGAGACACCGACGGTCCCGCGGCCAAGGTTGCCAAGAGGGAGGGCGACAGGGTTCCCGACGAGGAGGCGCCCGCGCTAAGGAGCCCAGGATCCGCCCAGGAGCCCAGGCCGACGCTTCCGAGTGGGTCCACGACTGGATCGAATCCGATAAGACGGCCTACAACGCCTTCATGTACCGCCTGCGTAAGCACGGCCAAGAGAGGAAGGCCAAGTGGACGGAGATCCAGAAGTTCGGCTGCGCGATGGACGCGGAAAATTTCGTGGACGAGATCATGCACACGACGACGAGGCAGTCCGCGGAGTTCAACAACACGCTGACCCGCAACGAGACGCTCAAGGAGTGGACTACCTTCAAGAAGGCGCTGGAGAAGTACGACGAGGACGTGCTGATGGCCATGGTCAGGGCCAGAACCTTGGAGACCGAGCGCGACCCTGCCATCCCTGAGTCCCTGGTGGTGCCGTGGCCCAAGTACTTGCAGGTGCGGCTGCACTCGGAGAGCGAGCGCGATCGTCACGACAAGGGCTTGCAGCTCACGGACAACACCAATCTGGACGACGACGCCTACGACGAGAAGTACGCCGAGCAGAGCCGCGGTCACAACCAGCAGCAGGGGGGCCAACAGCAGCAGCAGCCGCCCCAGCAGCAGCAGTCGCTGCAGACGGAGCCATCGGTCGAGAAGGCGAAGATGCCCGAGGCAGTGGCCGTCCCCGTGAAGGCCGCGCGCGCGGCGCACGGATACATCGACAGGTTCGCTCGCGAGCTCGAGGCGGCCATCGAGTCCAGCTCGAAGAACGAGAACAGCAAGGGGTGCAAGATCGAGAATGACTTGGGCGCGATGAGGGGCACCCTTGCGGCGAAGGACAAGGAGCTCCTGACGTTCGAGAAGAAGTGCGTGAGCTCGAACGGAGCGGGCATCACTGGCAAGGAGATCCAGACGGCGGCGGACCTCGCCAAGGAGATCGACGACGCGATCAAGAACGGCCGCAAGAAGCTGGCGGCGCTCAGGTCGCTGTAG